AAATTGCATGCTTGGGAGAATTCCTTTTTATCTAATGGAGGTAGAATTACACTTCTCAAAAGTGTTCTTTCTGCCTTGCCATCCTATTTACTGCAAATGAACATTCTTAAAAAATCCTCTCAGAAACTATTAGAAGGTATCTTTAATAGATTCCTATGGGCTGGTCATAGGAAGCAAAAACACTGGACCTCTTGGGCTAAGGTGTGTAAACCTGCTGAGGAGGGTGGATTAAGATTCAAGTCTTTCTCCCAAATTATGCACTCCAATTTCTGCAAGCTATGGCTCAGATTTAGATCTCAGTCTTCCTTATGGGCTGAATTCCTGTGGGGCAAATATTGCAGACATCATCACCCCACCCAACTCTCAGTGGGTGTGGGGGATTCTCCAATCTGGAAAAGGATGTTAAAAGTTAGACAAGATGCTGAACAATTGTTTGTCTGGGAACTTGGTGAGGGCTTGGTTAACATCTGGTGGGATAATTGGTCCTTGGATGGTTGCCTTATTGAGGACCAGATTGCCCTAGCTGCCCCTGTGCTTGTGAAAGACATCTGGGCTCTTGGCAAGTGGAACCTTTCTCTGATCATTCCTTTGTGCAGCCCTTCTCAACTATCCAATATTTAGAAGCTTACTATTAAACCTGGGGTTAAAGACAGAATTGTTGTTAGAAAGAACCCAATCCCTTCCCAGCCCCCCCCCCATCTGGTACACTGGGGTTACACCATCTAGAATAAATTCCTTACCCCATCCATGTCCTTCTTCATTTGGAGACTCTTCTCAAAAATAATTCCCACAGATGACATTCTGAAGTTGAAGGGTTTGAGGGGTCCTTCTAGATGCACTTTCTGCCTGTCTCAAGAGGAAACACTTACCCATCTTTTCTTTGAGTGCAATTGGGTACAGGATGTTTGGTCCTTTGTGATTGGTAAACTTAGAATCCCAACTTTGAACCTCACATGGAAGGTGTTCTATACTAGCTGGTCTGATTGGAGGGGATCTGAACTCCAGGACATCCCCAATATTGTGGCATGGTTTGTGTGGATGGCTAGGAACCAGGCAAAGCATGATAACTCCCTTATTAATCCTATGAGGGTGGGTCTCAATTGTTCTACTTTTATTCACAAACTGATCAAATTTAAAAAGTTTAAGGCTGTGTTGGAGATTGGTTCTTTTCCTAAGCCTCAAACTTCCAAAGTTGTGACAATCTGCTGGACCCTCCCAAAGTTTGGCTGGACCAAAATTAACATTGATGGCAGTCATAAATCCCAGTCTGCAGGCATTGGTGGGGTTTTCAGGAACCATGAGGGGAAATTCATCTTATACTTCCAATCTCCAATCAAGGCTGTTCACTCACTTGAGGAAGAATGTCAAGCAATTTTTTGGGCCATCAACTTAGCTAGATCTTGCTTGCTTGATCAGTTATGGGTTGAATCTGACTCCTTGCAACTTATTAACTTCTTCCATGGGATTTCAGAAACCCCATGGAACTTAATCTGCTGGATGTCTGGTATTCATCAATTGCTTAAATTTTGCTCTATAAAGTTCTCTCATATTCACAGAGAAGGAAATAGACCATCCAACTAGCTGGCTAGAAGGGGTCTTTTTACTGAAGAACCTCTAGTGAGTAGAAGAATTCCCCCCACTGGACTTTCTCTTATCCAGTGACCTGTTGCCTCTCCCTTATTTCAGAAATTATGTGTAGTAGGTTTGAGAGGTGCTTTCCTTTATAAAGGCCCTCTCCTGTCACCTT